TTAATAAGGAACCAGCAGATCAAGTAGCTTTTGGAATAAAACACCAATTTTTTTAAAATTAAACACTATCTAAAGATTTGCATCGAAGCGTTTATTTTTGATAGTGATTTTAATCACTATCAGATATCATTATACTTGATCCAACTATGCCACGTCACCACTGTGCCGCGACCCCCCTGTGCTGGGTTTTTTTATTCTTTTTCTCACCATTTTTAATTTGCTTACCCTACATTTCCCTTTATATGACATTATCGTATTGATTGAGAATTCAAAAATTGCTTACTCCTGTTGTAAATTTTGTATTATACTAAAATCGAAGTTATTAATCTATTTATTACAGAGATTAGCTTCTAACTTAAAACTAAATTTTTCTTTGAAAATGTAAATTCTTCATTTCTTTATTTCTTTTCTTCTTATTGCTTAATGTGGTGATTTTATGTACCCTGTCCTACTTAAGGTCATTTGAAATGATTTATTCTTGATTCCGCAAAACTGTATGGCTTTTGATAATTTAAAATTTGGTTCTCTAAATAATCATTCTTGGCTTTTAACTTATCAGTTACTTGATATGTATTTATCCGTCAAAAAAAGAAATAATAAAAACCTAAAAATTGAACTTAATAATGTGAAAATTATTGTTTAATCTAATGATTTTATAATTTATGATACATTCTATACTAATAAAATATTTGCTTATTATTTTGTTTGCTATATAATGTTTCAATTTCAACCCACATTACATGCATCTTTACGCAGGTGAAATAGATGACAATAATTTGAATATTGATGATACGATAGAATTTTTACAGGAAATTATGATGCCAACAATTTCAAAAGGCCTTGTGGAATTATACAAAGAAGACCCAAATGATCCTCTCAGATGGTTCGGAAAATGGTTACTATCGACCAACTCGATGATAAACTAAATTTGTAATTTCTAGTTCTCTCTGATGGATTTTTTTCATTTTTATAAATTTGATGCTCTGTACATTTAAATTCTATACAATAAACTAATAGTTAGTTAATGAAAAGAAAGTTGATGAATAAAAATAAGCACTGAAGGGTTAGGCAATGTTTTAACACTCATTTAAAAAAATATCTTGTTTAGTTGAATATATTTTGTATAATGTATACTACACATTATGTATAAAAATATTTTTATTTAAAAAAATGAAAATTTTACTTAATGAGAGCTGTTTTGAGGGAAATCAAAGTGATTTTAATTTAAATATAAGATCTGGTTATAATTGAGCCTCAAAATATAGTAGATCAAAAACAACGCATGTTTAACTATGTGATGGTGTCACGTTACCTTTATTGTGAGAATTTATTATAATAAAATACAGACAGCACCTCCGCTTCTTTAAACTGATGAATTAACAATTAACATATATTGCTAAATGACCTAATACAAGGCCGTTGTACGTACCTTATAAACTAGGGGGAGTTGATTTTTGAAAGGAAAAAATAAACGAGTCCATTGAAGATGAAACGCGCAAAATAAATTAAGGGGACTTTATTGAGTAATAATTAAAAAAAATTAAGTTAATACGAGGCAAAAAACCGAACGGTCAAAAAATCTCGTCTACGAATTAAAGGGGAACAGAGAGAGAAAAACACAACATGATACGGTTCCGCGGCGTTTTCGATACACGAAGCCCCGCGACCCGTGACACCTTTATCAGCCGTCGCCCTACTACGTGCATATGGTAGTTTGACTAACACCACGTGCGATACGCCACGGTACAAAGTCCAACAAGTGCCGCACGTCCATCTACGACCCGCCGTAAATATACGTTAAGTATCTCCGTGACATACACACCGTAAGGAAAAACGCCGATAACCATCACACCGTCACTTTCTGTGTTTCTTTTTTTTTTAACGTCAACGTACTGTTGTTATATTTCTGCGTTTAACTCTTTTAGTTATTGTGCACATTACTGTTATAATTGTTGTACCATCTTGGTCGAATAAACGGCACCCCGCCGATTTTGTAACTAACTAGCGTTGCCTAAGTTATTTCACTACAACCCTTAACAAACAGATATTAATGAAAAAAAATAGTTATACCTACACTTTTACAATTAGAAAATACGATGAACGACTTCGGGTACCCACCATCTATTAATCACTGCCCTATCGCTAAACACGGCGGATATACATACGTCCCAAGTAAGCGACTGGTTTTGAGCAGTTAGACTTAGTTTGCAATCGACTGGTCTCTGCGAGCAAGGTGTCGGAAGAGCTTGACAGGAGAGTCGATGACGCGACCGTCGAGGATTTCACCCGAAAGGAGATATCCGCTGTGGTAATGAGAGTTCGGGGTAGGAACACCGCACCCGGTCAGGACAGCATACCGAACCGGGTGTGGGGTCTCGTCCACGACCTCGTACCGCAGTTGATGGACACCGTTTTTAACGAGTTCTCCGCGAGGGTGAAACCCGCCCAGATGGAAGAGGGCTGCGAGATAAGTTCTCTTGCGAAAAGGCGACAAGCCCGAAGGAGTCCCCTCGTCGTACCGGCCGCTGTGCATGCTGGACGACGTAGGGAAAATCCTCGAGCGGTTGTTGGCCACCCTCATCGAACGTGCAGCCCAGCGAGCTCAGAGGGTCATGGACCGCCTGGCGGGACTCATGCCGAACATCGGGGGACCGAGAGAACTCCGTCGCCAACTACTAGTTAGCGTCGTTCACTCGATCCTCCTTTACGAGTCCCCAGTCTGGGCGGTTGGATACTAGAGTACTCGCCCAAGAACGTGGAAGCGCTTAAACGGGTCCAGAGGAGGGCCGCTTTCCTGTCGATGTGCGTATAACGCACCGTCTCCCGAGTTGCGGCCAGGGTCCTGGCTTCTCTGCCACCCGCGGATCTGTTGGCCGTCGAACGCGCCAACGGACACGAGCTCAGAAGAGCACAGGTCAACCGCTTCGCGCGGATGACCGGCTGCAGCTCAGGAGCGTTACCGTGTCCAACTGACGTCGACTACTGGCCGAAGAAGATTCCGCGAGAGTGTGGACGAGGTCCCTCATCGGATCCAGCCGGCTCGACAGGTGGATTGGCCGAACTCACGGTGAAATGACGTACCGTCTGACCTAGGTGATGTCCGGTCACGGCTGCTTCAACGAATACCTTCACGCTACTGTCGGGATCGCCCGGGAGAAGCGGACAATGCTCTGCATACGCTCTTCCGGTGCGAAGCGTGGGCCAGCGAGCGGGAGGAGTGGAATCCCCCTCGGGGTCCGCGTTCGGCGTGAGGTCCATAGTGAACCTAATGCTGAGAAGCCAGGGGTGGTGGTCACTGGTGCAGGCGTTCGCCGAATCGGTGATTTATTATGAGAAGAAGTCTTGCCCCCACTTCCACGCGGTGCAATCTGAGCAACGAATCAGGCTAACGGGATCTTGTTTAACTTCAGGCTGATTCACAACGTGGTGGTGTGATTTATAGACGGCGTGGGCCGCCCTGAAGCAATACCTAACAGTAATTCCAGGGCGGTCCTCATTTAAGCCGGTTGTAGGAAAAAAAAAAAGGCTTAGTTTGCAACACATTGAGACACCCCGGAATAAAATGCACTAAGTCACCACAATATATTACTAGAACTAGTAATATATACATCACCCAATAAATTATAAAATCAAACCTATATATAAATAATATTACAGGTGGTATTGAAACATGCTTGTCATGTTGAGGGCCTAAATACAAACATTGAGACACCTACACAAAAAATTTAATAAAAAAATTGGCCCCATATGCTTATGGCACGGTGCACTAAAAAAATACTCTAGTGTAAAACATTATAAAAATATATGCATTACCAGACCTGAAGGGCTAAAAAATATGTAGCAGGCTCCTCCGATGCTGTAGTAAAAAAAAATATTGCATTTCTCCGAAATTAACGGACACTCACGTAAAAAAAAATAACGGTAGCACAGTGGGATCGCGGCATAGTTGGGACAAGTATAGATGATATCTGACAGTGATTAAAATCACTATCATAAGAAATTCTTCGATGCAAATATATAGTGTTTAATTTTAAGAAATTGGTAGATTATTTCGAAAACAACAATAACTCTTATTCCCTTAATTTTATCCCGATTAGTTATTTGATTTATAATTATTATATATGAATACATAATAATTATAGTAATTAAATTTAGTATGATATTGATATTCAATAATTTAATACTGTAATTTTTACGGAAACATTATAAAAATAATAAAGTAGTTGTATATTTCTTTACTTTTTACTTTTAATTTAAAGAGCTTGACGCGATACTTTTCAATAAAAAATGTTTGTTAATTATAATAAATTTATAACTTTTATACACTGGACTACAAGGAACTTTCATCAGAAACAAAAATTTACTTTTCTAAATCAACTTTTCTCGATGTTTTCAAATATGTAATTAAACTTATTAATTAGAAAAACTAACACTTATAAGTTTTAATATTATTACTTATTATAAAAAAAAAAAGTATTTACAAATAAAAAAACGGTAGCACAGTGAGGTCGCGGCATAGTGGAGACATTGCATAGTAGGGTCCAGTATAGATTTAATCTGACAGTGATTAAAATCACTATCATAAGAAACGCTTCGATGCAAATCTGTAGATAGTGTTTAATTTTAAAAAATTGATGGATAATTGCAAAAGCAACATCAACTTCTATTAAAATAAAATACAAAACCCATAATTATCATACAAAAATAGTATATTTTTCAATATGGTAGCCATTTGCG